CTACACACCCCACATTCTGCCACCATCTTATTTCCTACTAGCCGTATTTAACATGTTCGTTATCCTTGACTTCTTAGGGCTACCCTATCTGGGTCAGAAGGAGGCGGCTGCAGAAAATCCAGAACTTCTCCAAGGGGCACACCCTCGATGTAGGTGGCCCTAAATGACTCTGCGTAGAGCAGGAAGGTGCACCTGGTTCATTCTCCTCTTCCTTCTGCCACAAACCTCCCAACAGACAGGAGGCAAGGACGCAACAGCAAAATCATCTCTCAGGTTTCCTTTAGCCTAGTAACAGCCTAAGCTTTCCTCAAGCCAGTCTACCCATGTGAGAGCAGGGCTTGGGGCCACACAGAATCCTGGGCTTAGGTCACGTGGACCCGTGAGAACTGGGTCCACTCCCCTGTCCGTAGTAGTTTTTAAAATGTGGATGGAGCCCGCTTGGGGGAAACCACTCACTGTTGAATTACTGCTCTAACTACATCCACAAAACTATCTCAGATCTTTAAATATCTGCCCATCTTTAACAGAGAGAAAGTTTCATATCCATTTTTAAAGAAAACACACAACTCTGATGAGTACAAATAAAGTCCACGTGTATTCTACAGTTCCCGACTCCACCTAATCATTATTTCTATAACTCAGTTTAATATGATATAAGGATGAGGGATTTGATGAGACAAAACAGAAACAACACAAATAAATGAGAAAAAAAAAAAGAGACTGAAGATATTAATGAAATGATACCACTTTTGATGAAAACAATGCTCCGAGTCACTCGGCAACCCCAAGAATCACATCTTTAAATGTCACTTAGACAAAACTCAGGGATAACAATACTGAATGCTAAATTCTCACCAGCACTAAAGGCAAAGCAAACCAGCCACACAGGAAATACTTCAATTCCATTTTCCTTTCTTATTTCAGGTTATGTCACGTAACCTCAAGCCATTTCTTTCCATTCTGCTGTTCTCAGTATGAACTATCAAGTCTTAACTCCCACTTATGTCTGCTGAACGTGGGGATTATGACAGGGCTGTTTTGAATGCTTCAGAGAGGTCTCCAATGGGTCTGGTGTCTCCCTTCCCACAGACCCTCACGATACAACCTACGTCCATGAAGAAGAGCGAACCCTGGAGGGTATTTCTTAGCAATAAGAAATAAAGATGATTCATGCTGAGAAAAGAGGAAGACAGCAGTGAGACGCATCGTTTTTTCCAGGTGACTCTATGGGAAACCAGGATGCCTGCTTCACACAAACTGGGCTGCGTAGCCAGATTCAGAAAAGTCCTAAGTTATTTCATGAGACTATGTTAGGTTATTTATTATATTGTTGCTATAAAGTACTCTTGATGTAGTTAATGACTTTATGTCACCAACTAATCACCAGGAGGGGGAACCCCACTAAGATTGGCTAACGTCTTTACATTCCCGTAGATACTAAATAGTCCCCATATGACTGTGGCTAAATCCACACAGAGGGCAAAATGATGAATGAACTGCAGCTGCCTTGAAAATGACTTCTGTTGGGACTTCCCTGGTGGCGCAGTGGTCAAGAGTCCGCCTGCCAATGCAGGGGACACGGGTTCAAGCCCTGGTCCGGGAAGATCCCATATGCCACGGAGCAACTAAGCCCGTGTGCCACAGCTACTGAGCCTGCACTCTAGAGCCCACGAGCCACAACTACTGAAGCCCGTGCGCCTAGAGCCCATGCTCCGCAACAAGAGAAGCCACTGCAATGAGAAGCCCGCACGCCACAACGAAGAGTAGCCCCCGCTCTCCGCAACTAGAGAAAGCCCGTGTGCAGCAACAAAGACCCAACACAGCCAAAAGAAAAGACTTCTGCTAACTTACGTGCAACATATTCTTTTAGCACGAGTAGCTTCCTATCACTAGCCCACAAATGTTAAGATGAAGAGTGACTGAGGATACTAGTTTTTTTTTGTTTTTTTTTTTTTTTGCGGTACGCGGGCCTCTTACTGCTGTGGCCTCTCTCGTTGCGGAGCACAGGCTCCGGACATGCAGGCTCAGCGGTCATGGCTCACGGGCCCAGCCGCTCCGCGGCATGTGGGATCTTCCCGGACCGGGGCACGAACCCATGTCCCCTGCATCGGCAGGCGGACTCTCAACCACTGCGCCATCAGGGAAACCCTATTTTTTTAATTATTATTTTTCATCTTTATTGGAGTATTATTGCTTTAGGATGTTGTTAGTTTCTGCTGTATAACAAAGTGAATCAGCTATATGCATACGTATATCCCCTCCCTCTTGCATCTCCCTCCCTCCCTCCCTCCCTATCCCACCCTTCTAGGCGGTCACAAACCACCGAGCTGACCTCCCTGTGCTATGCGGCTGCTTCCCACTAGCTATCCGTTTTACATTTGGTAGTGTATATATGTCCATGCCACTCTCTCACTTTGTCCCAGCTTCCCCTTCCCCCCACTGTGTCCTCGAGCCCATTCTCTATGTCTGCATCTTTATTCCTGTCCTGCCCCTAGCTTTGTCAGAACCATTTTAAGGATACTACTTTTTAGATGGAAGGTTCTGGATCGCTGGGGCAGCAATGTTCTATTCTTGGCTTCTCTGCCCCTTGCATGTTCCTCCCTGTCAGTCGATGAGTTGGACTTGAGTTTCTGCCTTTCAGCTCAATTGACCCAAAGTACAGGTCAAACTCATTCTCAGTATTTTCCATTCTCGATGTGGGAGTAACAAGGAGTGGGGGAGACAGAAAACAGAGCTTGCTTGTTAAGAGGTAAGAAAGCATTTTAAAAAGCAGACTGCAGATTATCTACCGACGAAAGAGAACAGGTGCCTCCGTGCCCACGCAAGTGCTCAGTCCCCACCAGCTTCGCCCTGTGCCCACCTGGCTGACCAGCTCGGGTATCCCCAGAGCTCTGTCAATCTCCTCCAGGCCATCAAAGTTCCGCAAGGCCAAGTACAGCTGGTCCAGGAGAGCGCCTTCGTCACTCGGAGACTCCGCTGCAGGGTGTGGACACAGCAAGTCATCTGGAGAGTTGCCAAACGGCTGCCTGTAGAGACAAACTTCATCTCAGGCCCGTGGAAAAGCTAGTTGATTAGAGAACTTTTTTTTTTTTTTTTTTTTCCCTTAAAAGACAAAAGTAGTAAAATACTATACCAGCCAGACACAAACAACAACCCTAAATAATAGATATACTTTATCCAGTGCCTAACAGAGATAAGCTGGACACACATCTAGGCATCGGATGTTGTGAGCTTTGTTTTTATTGCCCCCGCTCTAAAGCTGGCAACGCTGAGGCCTGGAGAGCTTGTCAGACCCTGTGGTGGAGAGCACACAGGCAGACACTGCAAAGCTGGGATTCAACACCGACCTAGGCGACCACTACGTTCCCACAAATCCACACTGACTCTTCAAGCGTGTATGTATTTACTTTGTACTGAAGTAGTCAAAGGAATTTCCTGAATTTTAGCAAAAAAGACCAGTTGATTGCAGTCTCATTTCGCATGAGGTTCTGAAGGCCCATCTGAGGGACACTATGAGCATAAAAGCTCCATTAAGTTTGTTGAATCAGCTGCCATTAGACTGCACGTGGCTGGACCGATAGGACATTTCTCTGTCATGCGTTAAGTGGGACTTGAAAACATTTATTAAAATCCTCAAGAAGCGTGGTCGTTAGACTTCCTGAGTTACTCAATGAAAAGTAGACCAGGAACATGCAAATTATGTTTGTTATTATATAAGGTGACTGGTGATAAAACCGTAACACTGCACTCCAAATTCTATGGTATATAAAACTCCTATAATTTAAATTAACTGACAAACTTGGGGAGTTTTAAAAAAGAGCTTCTGAGTTACTGTAATAGCAAAAGGGGAAATGATACTCTAATTTGTACTCTTAAAGTTACTATATGTTTTGGAGAAGATAAAGTTTACAGGTAAGTTCCCTCATTCTTCAGCAATGATAGATTCACCTAGGGATGAATGACCTATCTAACCGGTTTCATATGCTTTGTGCCAGTTTGGCCCAGAATCCTGAAATGCTGAGGATTAAAGCCAAGAGTCAGTTTCAAACAGTTCTAACCCAGTGCACTGGAAAAACTCTATCCTCTCCATTTAGCCCATGTCACTTGTGAAGAAAATCACCCACTTAAGCGTACCCTCGACGACCCTGCTCACCGGCGGTCCGCGGCTCCGAGCCCACCTCCCACGGCCTGCGAGGCGCTGTGAGGGGCACCATCTGGAGCCCAGCGTGTGTGCTACGCTGCCCACCCAGCTCCACCCAAGCGTTCCCATCGCTAGGGCGCTCGCCAGCGCTGGCAGAGGCCCGTGCTCCCGGCCGGGGCCCTCTCTGCACCTGCCTCTTCTCCCACCATGGCCTCGGTTCCCGGGAAGGCATCAGCCACTGGAATGGTTCCCCCATGGCCCTTCGTGCTCCCAGAGTTCAACTTTTTAAACACAGCTGTGACCAGAACACTGCACACTCAGGGAGCGGGAGGAAAGAGCAGACACAGAAAAGCGGCAACGAGGAGGAGGACAGCCACAGACCTGCGCGTCAGGGAAGCAGAGAGAGGAGGGGATTCCCCGAAGGGCAATGACCCACTGTAGATGTGGTCAATTTCATGAACAAAGGAGCTCAAGTCAGCCAAGAGTGGATGCTGTCTATTTACCAAATTCTCTTAGGCCTGAGACCTCATTCCCCAAAGATGCTAGTTAATATTCTCTTCCTCTAGCTTTATTTCACAATTTTCGACTTCTGTTTCTTCAGAAGCTTTTATTCCCACACGACCACAAACAACCCCCATCCCAGATCTCTCTGCTGATGACCGGCTAATGTGAAATCGACTCCCTTTTAACCCAAGCAAGGCTGCACGGGCTCCATGGCAAGGCAGACTGCCCAGTTTGCACCTGCCTGAAACCCAGCGTCAGAAGGAAGAGGACACTCCGTCTGGTACTCTGGAAGACAGCTCCACCCCGGGGAGGCCACATCCAAAGGCTTAAAGAAAAAGAACTACCGATGCTCATTTGCATCTAAACGATTTCCCACATAATAAAATAGCCCATTTTTGTTACATGCTTTTTCTTTTTTTAATTAAAAACATTAAACCAATGCTTGACCCACATTCCCACTTTGGTCAAGGCCCTCTTCAACTTGAGCTGGGACCTTCAAGACACTTTCTGGCTTACAGTCTCTCTCTGATTCTCCCGATACGATGCTGTCAGGTTCCTTCTCCCGTTACTGAGCTGACTCGCAATGTCTAAGGCCCTGGGACAGGGTGCTGGTGGTGGTGGAATTCAAGGACACACACACTTTGGTAAAGCCTGACCTTTCCCAACGTAATGCCCACGACTCCCCTGTGGGTCCCAGCCACCCTGGGCAACTGGCCTGTTTCCAGAGGATGCCGCATACCCACCATGATGCCAAGACTTCCCGTTCCACATTTCCCACCCTCTTCTTCAACTGCAATTCTACCTTCCCATCCGGGCTCGGCATCTCTCCTTCACGGCCACTCTGGACCACCCCCACTATCCTCTCAACTCTAGTACCACTCACTGCACTATGCTGGCTTGATGTTGGCATTTATTTAGAAACCTCAACCCTAGACTGTGCCCAGTGAGGCCATCTTCAATCTCTTTGTTGGACCAGTACTTGAACTGCATAGGTTCAGCAAGCTGGTGAAAATAAAAGGTTCTTGATCTAGCCAGGTTATCATACTTTATACTCAGAAAAATACATTTTTATACTCAGAAAAATATACTGCGTTGTGGCTTAGTATTACAAATTTGGGCATACCACGAGTTACATCACTTCCCTTAGAAACATCATAATACACTTGGCTTATAGAAAAAAATACTGACCCAGACTTCCAATCCCAACTTTATAAATGGCTGCCAACATAATGAAGAAATTATTTTCCTACATTTTGGGCAATTACAAATATAGTCACAATCTAGACGGTGGCTGACAAATATAATAATACTAAGTCAAGGATAAAATTCAGAGGAATAAAGGGAAGAACACACAGAGGCCCCAAGTTGGCAAAATGGTAAGTAATGAACTAGCAGAAGGTAGTTAATACGTCATCAATAAAAAGCTTATTTCTTGAAATCTACACTTTCATTTATTTATAGACTAGCAGGACATTAAAGATGGTAATAAGAAGGGGAATACGATCAATTCTGAGCTCTTGTTTGAGAAATCATACCACACTATCACTTTTCATGTGTGTTTTCAAAACTCTGCAAAACAGTAGCAGCTACTACATGATAAGACATAGTCAACCAAAGAACCTTTACTCTTAGACACATTACAAACAAGAGAAAACCAAATTACTCAGAGATTTTGAACTTAATGTGAAAGGAAGTCTTTCATGAAAGGCAGCTACTGTTCACTTTTATAAATCCAATAGAAATCATCAAAAAGTCATCCATAAATTTGGGGCTATATTTTAAACAACTCTTTTACATACCAAATGAATAAAGGAAGAAAAGCCACAATGAAACTACAGAAAATGGAAATTCAGCTATAAATAAATGAGTATGTGAATACATTAGAGATTAAAGGGCTAAACTACTGTCTTTCTGAAATGTGTATATAAACTAATGCTGGGTTCATAAAACATTAAAAAACCTACTCCTAAATAGGTAGGCAGTAAAAATATAAAATATTAATGGTGATACTTATAAAGGGGATTTTAAAAAGGCACTGCTTTTCTTTTATTTCAAAAGAGAGACGTGGTTAGAACCTTTGTTATCCATCGTTTCTGGATTTCTATGACAATAAGACTACCATAAAGTTGGTTATAAATTTCTTCCAAACTGAATTATTTAAAATAAAAGAAGAGGGGTTAAGTGGCTGGAAAAATGGAAATAAATAACTTTAAAAGTGGTGGAAATGTTTTGCTTTGTCCACAGCGCTCTTCTACAAAGAAAACTGACAGCAACGAGAGAACAGGGCAGGGCGAGTCACAGAAACGGCCCCAGCAAACTGAACCAGCCGACTCTGTAGCTGGCCTCAGTGTGTACTCGGAATTCTTCCATTTTATTATTATTTGGTTTTTGGCTGCGCCGCGTGGCTTGCGGGATCCCAGTCCCCGACCAGGGATGGAGCCCGCGGCCCCTGCAGTGGAAGCGCGGAGCCCCAGCTGCTGGACGGCTGGGGAGGTCCTCATTTTTGCTTTAACAGAACCCTTCCTCTGCTTGGGCAACAGTGAAAATCCTAATGTTGGGTCCAGTTTTCCCTAGAAACTAATCTTAGACATTTCATCCAAAACCAACTCTCAGGTGCTGGATTTAATTATTCGACTCCCTACTTACTATGTGCAGGTTTCCATGGAAATGGGTGTGTTTTTTAACATATCCAATAAACATATTTAGAAAACGCGCAATACTCACTGACACCACGAAATCAGACTCAAAGAGCTAGAAGGACCCCGACAAAGTATAACCTCCAAGAATGATCACGGCGGTTATTTACGCGATGCTCTATCCCCAAGAATAGTACTCAGTGATGGAGGCCACACACCGCCCTTGGCAGCTAGTCCAGTAAGAGCCACACTGACTGATGACTGCGGTTCTTGTCTGTTCTTCCACACAGAGTGCGTTGGAGGAGCAGCGGTGCTGGCATCACCTGGGGCTTGTTAGGAACGCAGAATCCTGGGCTCCACCCAGACCTGCCTTTCAATGAGATCCCAAAGATGGTTCACAGGCACAGCGGAGTTGGAAGACACTAGTTTCCCCCGCTAAGCGAATGGAATACAGCCGGCGAGCACCCACCCTCTCTTCCTTATCTCCCTAAAACAGTTATTAAGCGACTGCCCTGATCATCTTTTCTTTCAGTGAAGTAACTAGTTCCCAACTTTTTCGCACACGTCCAATATTGCTGGGCTCATATTCATCTTCTGCTATTTTGATATTTTAAAACTTCATTGAATCCTCTGAATCCTTTACCACTCTCTTAAGATAATACAAAGGGGTGACTGAGCAGAGCCCAGTGACAGGATGCTTCCTACATTAACTATGTACTTCAATCCATCTCTGAAGGGATCCCCCTCTAAAGATGAAGACTGTTCTATCTCCAGGTGGCGTTGCTATTAGGAGACCTGCACATCCCACACCGGTGCAACAGTCTGCCAGCTAAATTTAAAAAAAACCGCTGGTACCAGGAAAGATTCAGCACATTCTCTGCACTGGAAACCTTTGTACCAAAGAGAGTTAGGACTATCTCAAGACTCTGGCTGGTGATGTTCATATTGTGAGAGGAGACTTCGATGCGAATCTGAATTATCCAGAACAGAAAGTTGTAGCGGTTGGGCAGTTCAAAATTGGTTTGATCCATGGACATCAAGTTATTCCATGGGGAGATATGGCCAGCTTAGCCCTGTTGCAGAGGCAGTTTGATATGGATATCCTTATTTCAGGACACACACATAAATTTGAAGGATTTGAGCATGAAAATAAATTCTGCATTAATCCAGGTTCTGCCACTGGAGCATATAATGCCTTGGAAATGAACATTATTCATTTGTGTTGATGGATATCCTTCATTTGTGTTGATGGATAGCCAGGCTTCTACAGTTGTCGCTTACGTGTATCAGCTAATTGGAGACGACGTGAAAGTAGAACAAATCGAATATGAAAAATCTTAAAGTGAGGCGTGTCCTGATGATTTTTCTGTTGGGCTTTTTTTTTTTCTTCTTCATTCCCCTGTTCAACTCAAGTAATTAAACGTTTAAGAGCCACAAAATTGTATCACTTTTATAATATTTTGCAGTAAAATATAATCTCGTCTTCTGTTAATACAATGTTCTAAGCTTCTTGTAAACTATAAGATTATGTTTAGTTTAAGTATATGATTTCTATGAAAAAACGTCCACCACACAGTAAATGGTCACATGTTAAGAAAGATTTATCCTTGTAAGTATCTTCATAGTTGATATTTGGAACTTTATCACCAAAGTAGTGCATGAGGAGAAAGAATCTAGATTTTCTTTATACAAGAAAATACATTCTTTGCTTCTCCAGTAATAAACAGTTGCTTTTCATTTATTAAAAAAAAAAAAAAAAAAGATATAGAAAGGAAAATGGGCACCACACCACAGTTCTGAGCTATGCAAAAGCATTTTATCCCAGGGTAATAAGAGTCACTATGAAATCTGTATATATTTTTTTTAAACAAGAAGCTCTGGAAATATTCTACCCTTATAAAATTTGAGAAACCCTGCTTTCATCATTTGTGAATTTGATAAAAGTATTTCATAATTTTAGACTAGAATAATCCCCAGTGGACAAAACGATCAGTCTGGAAGGTCTTCACTGAGCCTCCAACCCGAACCTTCTACATGTGAGCCTCAAGGCAGAATTCCTCCAGTTTGTTTTCTAACACGGTTACTGACCAGAAAACATCGCCTGCATCATTTAAGTGCCCACACTGACTCCTGCTTAGGCTCCTAACTCTCTCTCTGCCTCGGGGCTCTTTGCCCACCCAACTGGCCAAGCAGCACCATCACGTAGGCCTCAAGGTCTCCTGTGCAACGTCTGCTTCCAGTGCTTTGCTTAAAAACCATGGGATTATGCATATAACACGACTGTGAGGCTGTCTTTGCAGGGAATAATGGAACAAGAACCATCTTTGAGCGAAAACTTGAGCAACACCTAAGCCCCCAGCAACAGGTGTGTTTTATCCTTGAGAGCTGGGGCACCGGGCCACAGCCAAGTGAAAGAGCTGAGCGGAGAGTGCTGGACTGCACTGAGGAGAGTGGTGAGCGGAGACCCTCGCCTCCAGCAGAGACCAATGCAAATTCCCTTGCATGAAAAGTGTCTTCAGCTTTAACCCCGGCTGGATCACTGACAAAGATCAACTAGGAACTCCCGATGAAAGATTACCAAAGTACTCAGGGAAACAGGCCACCACGAGCAAGAGTCAATCACTGGATTTAGAACCACAAGAAATCCAGATATTGGGATTATCGAATCAAGAAATTTAGAAAGTAATGATGAATGTGATGTTTAATGATACAAAGATGGAATCACAAAAGTAAGCAAACAGTAGGAGGCTATGAAAAGTAACCAGGCAAACAGAACTTTTAGAAATGAAAAATATAATTGGTTTAAACATAGCTAAAGAGATAATTAATAAAATGAAATATAGACATGGACAAATTATCCCAAATGTAGCAGAGAGAGACAGGGAGATGGAAAATACATGGGTTAAGAAATAAGGAGGGTAGAAGTTTTAAAAAATCTGACGTAGAAAGAGACGGTTAACGTATGTCTTGCCAGAATCCCAGAAAGAAAGAATAGAGAAAATGGCGGAGGGGCAGTACCTAAAGAGAAAATGGCTACAATTCCAGAGCTGATGAATCCACAGATAAAACGAGCACAACATACACCAAATACCAAGCAGTATAAATAAATAAATCCACACCTAGACACACTATAGTTAAGACTACTGTACAGCAATTCTAAAAATATTTCAAAAGCAATTAGAAAAGATTACCTACAAAGAAACAAAAATGATTAGACTAATAATCAGAATCAAAAAAATTCAATCAAACTTGATCATATACCACTTCCTTTTTCCAAAAACTTCTCCAATGGCTTAATGAAAAAAGGCTGAGGGACTTCCCCGGTGGTCCAGTGGTTAAGACTCTGCGCTCCCCATGCAGGGGGCCCGGGTTCCATCCCTGGTCAGGGAACTAGATCCCGCATGCTGCAACTAAGAGTTCACATACTGCAGCTAAAAAGATCCTGCGTGCCTCAGTGAAGATCTTGCACGAGGCAACAAAGATCCTGCATGCTTCAGCTAAGACCCTGCACAGCCAAGTAAATAAATAAATATTTTAAAAAAAGAAAGAAAGAAAGAAAAAGGGCTGAAGAAGAGTTTGGTATTTAAGACCCTCTATAAATCTATTTCATTTACTAATCTACTTTTCCAGCCAAATCTTCTTCTTTTTTTTTTTTTTTGGCCGTGCCCCGTGGCCTGCGGGATCTTAGTTCCCTGACCAGGGATCGAACCCATGCCCTTTGCATTGGAAGTCTTTTTTTTTTTTTTTTGAATATATCAGTATAGTTTATTTCTTTTATAAGAGGGAGGAAAAAAGTCAATAGCTGTGAATTGAATTCTTGAAGAAGAATCCGTGCAAAAATGCGAGCTATGGGAACGCTTTGAAAAAAAATCTTTGGTTTGGTTTTCTTTCCTATTAAGCATTAAAAATTAGTAAGATTGAATGTTTATTAAATCATGAAAATTTAAGGTAAATACAATATATTTTCTTAAGCTGGAAAAGGAGGATTTATGACTTTACTTGATACAAAATGAATGTATGCAACACTGTTTTTAAAATACAGCAAATTTAAGACCCCAATAATTTTTTGAATGATTTTGGAAAGTATACACAGGTCAAAACATTTTCTTATCTGAATATATTTTACAGGCTACTTTTTATGAAAATTTAAACATTCAGGCATTTATTTCACTGACACATTTTTGAATTATAGCACTCTGAATGCAACAGATGAAATGTGCATTTTTGCTCCATCATTTGCTAGTTTTCCTCCAGAAGCAGGGAGTCTTAACCACTGGACCACCAGGGAAGTCCCTGGCCAAATCTTCTGATACTTTTATTTTTTTTTTAATGTGGTAAAATATATGTAACATAAAACTAGACTATTCTCTGTTACCCTAAACATACTGTGTTGCTTCTGTAACCTCCAGGACTCTGATTATTCTGCTTTTGCCAGGTGGACTAGCTTCCTGCCATCTCTGCCTCCTGACATGATACCTTTACTCAGGACTCTGAAGCTTTTTTCCCCAATCACCCCAACTGGATGATCCCTTGAAATATGTTTTATTTCTCTTAGGGCATTTATAGTACATACTAGCTCATATTACAGTTATTAATTAGTCTACATATTTTATTTTCCAACTAAATTATAACTTCTTTAAAGGCATGTGCTAGGTCAAACTGATTTTTGGATACCCAGCCCCCGGCCCCCCGAACCCCTGTACTCCCAGTCCAGTAAATGATATAGTTTGAATACATGAAAACTGGTCAGGCACCAACTGTTCAAAAGGACCAGACTAACTTCTGGCCTAGGTCTGAGATAACTCACGGCACTCATGAACTCTCCGGGACCTCCTGAGTGCTCAAGACTCACCTGTTCTGGCTGGCAAACGGTGCCTGTTCTATCGGCAGGATGCTTTCAGGCCAGGGAGCGGTCTGATTTGGAGGCGCTTGTTGTTGGCTATACTGAGGTCCCCCTATGTTCATCTCTAATTCAGATGGCCCTGAAATGGGAGAAGGAAACAATTCCAAAATCTTGCAACTTGTAATAAGGGAAGTTATCTGTTTTGGTTATAGAACAGAAAGAGAAATATACAGTTTAAAGAAAAAGACAGAAGCAATAATAATTAGGTGAAAATAATAGGAGAATTTTTGTTCTGAAATAGAAAAAAAGGCAAGAAATACCAAGGCTAATCACCCACTTTTTTTTTTTTTTTTTTTTTTGCGGTACGTGAGCCTCTCACTGTTGTGGCCTCTCCCGTTGTGGAGCACAGGCCCTGGACGCACAGGCTCAGCGGCCATGGCTCACGGGCCCAGCCGCTCTGCGGCATGTGGGATCCTCCCGGACCGGGGCACGAACCCGTGTCCCCTGCATCGGCAGGCGGACTCTCAACCACTGCGCCACCAGGGAAGCCCTAATCACCCACTTTAAAGACTCTCTAGATCAGCATTTCCAAGCCCCTTGGACTTAGGAGTCTTTATATTCTTAAAGTACAGCTTTTGTGTATGTGGGTTATATCTCACTGATATTTACTATATTGGAAATTAAAACTGGAAAAAGAAAAAATGATTATTAATTCATTTAAAAGTCATCATAATAAATCCACTATGTTAACATAAACAAGATTTTTTTCTTCCAGTCGTATTGACATATAATTGACATACAGCACTACAGAAGTTTAAGGTGTACAGCACGATGATTTGACTTACATACATCATGAAATAATTATCACAGCAAGTTTAGTGAACATCCATTATTTCAAAGAGATACAAAATTTTTTTCCTTGTGATGAGAACTCTCAAGATCTGCTCTCTTAACAGCTTTCATATATAACACACAGCAGTGTTAGTTACATTGACCTTGTTGTAACGTTATGTCCCTAGAACTTATAACTGAGAGTCTGTGCCTTTGGACCGCCTGCATCCAATTTCCCCTCTGCCCACCTCCCCTCTGGTAACCACAAATCTGATTTCTTTTTCTATGACGTTGTTTGTCTGCAACATAAACAAGATTTTTTTAGCCAAATCTATTGTACGTCCATGACAGAATGAGAGCGAAGAAGGTACGTAATAACCTAGTGTTATTATGAAAATAGTTTTGGCCAGGCAGACGCCCTAAAAGGGCATCGAGGTCCTGGGCATACTTTTGAGAAGTGCTGGTCTGAGTAAAGGAGGAGCAGAGAGGTGGCCCAGACAACTTAGATGTGCTCTTTCTTAGAAGTTCTCTGTAGAGGATTAAAGCTAATGCATGATATGAGCTCTTTAGTGATTTTATTATCACTATCTGTAGACCTGTTTTCCATCACAACAGATACTTTTCTGTTGAGTTCACGGCTTTTTCGAGCTTATTAAAAATCAGAGAAATTCAGCTACACAGTGAAGCTCACAGAGCCATATTTCAAGCTCAAAAGCCAGGTGCCAATCAGAGAAGAAACACTGAGGATAAATGAAATTTCTGGATATAAGGGATTTATTATGATGATTTTTAAATGAACAAATTAGCATTTTAAAAATTTCCCAGTTTATTTTTGAATGGAAATCTGGCCATTCTTTGTATTTTCATGTAAGCCTCAAATTACGTGAATTTATGTTTGGGAATCACACATTATTAATTTGAAGTACATTCTCTGTAGAAAGGCAATGTGAATGTCATCTCAGAAACAATAAGCCAAAATGCGCTGAGCAATTAAACAACTAGAAAAGAAAACTGATGCTGGGGTAGGATGAGCATTCTGCATTATCGTGTCAAAACAATCCTGGCGGGATTCCCTGGTGGCGCAGTGGTTGAGAGTCCGCCTGCTGATGCGGGGGACGCGGGTTCGTGCCCCAGTCTGGGAAGATCCCACGTGCAGCGGAGCGGCTGGGCCCGTGAGCCATGGCCGCTGAGCCTGTGCGTCTGGAGCCTGTGCTCCGCAACGGGAGAGGCCACAACAGTGAGAGGCCTGCGTACCGCAAAAAAAAAAAAAAAATTAATTAAACCCCCCCCCAAAAAAAACAAAAAAAAAACAATCTTGGCATCTTTCCATTAACGATTTAGTGCTTACTCATCGTGCACGTATATGAAAAAGTACATGAACGTCAACTTATCTGAATTATGCTAATGTACAAGGTAAGAGGAAGGTTAGTATGTCAATGATTAAGAGAATCTTGAGGATGAGTTGCATTACTTTTAAAAAAAAATAATGGTTTTATTGAGATATAATTCACATACCATACAATTAGCCCGTGTAAAGTGTACGATTCCGTGGGTGTTAGTGTATCTGCAGAGTTGTAGAACCAGCACGATGATCAATTTTAGGATGTTGTCATTCCCCACAAAAGAAACCCCATGACCATTAGGAGTCACCCCCCATTCCCCCCATGAGCCCTAGCCCTAGGAAACCACGAATCTACTTTCCTTCTCTACACATTTGCCTATTCTGGACATTTCATATAAATGGTATTACACAGTGTATCAGATCATTAATTTTAATAACATGTGAACTGTATCCAAATAGAATTCTAGTGATCCCGACATTTTGTGAGATGCTGTCTAAGAGCCTGCACTTTCAGTGAGGAACTGTGAGAGTCTGGTTTAATAGTCTAGGGTAGTGGCCCAGGGATCTGCATTTTAAGGTCCTGATGACCATGCAGAGTTAGGAACCACTGGTGCATCACTGAAATACTTCTTCAGAATATCATCTGTATAACATTTATAGTGTTACAGGGCAATTCACTCCCTGCAAAAGTCGAAATTAGATAATTTAACGAAAATAAAACATCATAAAGGTAGTGGGTTCTCTTAAGTACCCGGAAAACCTGCAATTCTATGATCCTGTACAGAGTTCCAGCAAAATCCCACTTATGACAGCTTGACATGAGGGGATTACCTAAACCGCAAATTAGCAGCATGTCTTGACAAAACTTACGGAGCTTGCTCCTCTCTTCTTCTAAGAAAGGATAAAAATGAAAAGCAAAGAGCACAGGAACTACCTTACCTATATTCATGACCTGAGGCTGAAGCATCTGTCTTTGGCCAGGCTGGCTGTTGGGTCTCATGGGGATGCTGGCTGTTGGGTTCCGAATCATACCTCCTTGGATCGGCCGGTTCATGGCACTGGTGGTAGCAGCACAGGTGACTCTCACAGCGGAACTCGGAGGTGCCCATTCCCCAGATGGCAGGGTGGGCCGGGCAGCATTACTACCAATCATGCCTGCAGGCAAGCCAGAGAAAACGGAGATACAGTGACTGGAAACACAGTCAGCATGTATGAACACCGGATGATCTTACTCTGGTACGAGACGTTCATTCTCAACACACCGTTAGCCCAACAGCTCAGGCCCTCACCGGCACAGACGTGGGCCCCTGGCTAAGAAATACGAGATGGCAAATTACTACGAAGTTTTTCACAACACGGACTTGCCACTCTTTACAGTTCGGAAAAGCTGTTAAAATTGTTCCCATATGTACTTAGAAACAGGTGCTGTGGCATGTGGATAACCCCAACTTCCTTCCTCAGGAAGTGAATCACATTAGCTGATACACACGTCAATGCTTTACTTTCCAAAAGAGAGGTGAGGCTAAGAGGAACAAGGTGAAAACTAATAATCAATATTCTAATTAAAAACCCAAATCACAGAGAATATCCCATGAAGCCCCGGCCAGACTTTCAATCCCCAAATCCCTTTCTGAGCATTATTAATTTGTTAAGCTTCCAAGCTGACCAAAGCAGCCTCGGAAGCTGGGGGAATGACAGCATCTTTCCACTCCAGTTCTTTTTGGCCAAGGCAAGGGAGTGCCAACCACTTCAGTGGACCTGGACCACCACACTCCTGGCGATATAGGTCTAGGCTGCGTTGGGACAGATTTGTAAAAACCCTTGTATACATGAGATAGTAACAGCTATGTGACCACACACACCAGTGAGAAGAGCACAACACTGCTGGGCAGATCATGTGTTTGCTCTCTCTGGCCTGCCCCCCGAGATGCTGGCAATGGCCAGACACGGGCTAAGACTTGATATCCTAAAGGGGAACAACCCCAAGTGAGGACCCTTCACTCTGAAGCGTTTAATAATGGATGTGTAACAGTTCTGCTTTCAGAGACATGGCTTGCTTTCATTTACTCTAATTATGATAAACAACTAAAAAATAGGGTATTATTTCAGAAATGGAGAGAACATGTATTGCGGATGGTTTTTCACTGGTGAAATAAATGAGAATGTGCTACATTAGGATGATTTAGAGTTAAGGGTAATTAGACTGAACAAGTTAGAACAATATTATGTTAATACATATTTTAAAAACCGTTTTAAGGCTAGGTTTGAATTATACAAAGATGTGGGAGAAAAGGCATTTTCTCTTTCAAAGAATCTATTATCTAATTAATATAACAAGGTTATAGAAAGCATAGAAAGCAGGAGGGACTAATCCATAATTCGAAATATTAATGCAGTTGTAACCAGGGTAGTCTCTTTCAGGTTTTTTTCATTTTTCTTTTTGAAACAAAGCACAGGCATTGTGCGATCTTCACAGCCTGGATGCCAGTCATCTCCGGGCTGCCCAGATTTGAATATAGGTATATCCCCCAATTCCTAAAGATTCCTCCAAGAACCCAGATCTTCTTGTATTCCAATAATAAGAAGCCACCTTTCATAAATCATTGGCTCCTTTTCCCTTACAGAATTTTACATAAGTCAATATTTTACTTATATAAATCAATACTTTATTGTAAAAATAATGTAAAACTAATATGGCATTGTTTCTGCGAATAAATAAATTAGTGATGTAGTCAGTGCCTGGCACATATAGTAGGCACCTAATAAATACTTGCTGAATGAATAAACTATTTTAATACAACATTCTTCACATTTCCCATGAATTGCTTACCAACAACAGAAAGTTAAAAAAGAAATCCATCTTTTCAACCCTTAGATTGAACTCTTATTTTCTGTTAACTATCTGAACGGCAATGTGTATACAGGGGTTACAGACTAAGCTAAAAAAAAAACGCCAAGAATTAAAACCCAGGAATATAAGTTCTTTTTATAATATCTGTTTCTTTCAATGCCTTTGTCTCCAGCGGTAAACTGTGAGCAGTTCTCCATCAGAAAACTTAGCATCCTAAGGGTACAGGATACCACAGGGTACAGATACCATAGGGTACAGGACGTGGTGGTAACAGCAATCAATGCTGCAGCAGTGATTCCTAGCCTGAGCTGGGTGGAGGTTTGGGAGTACGGTTGCTGCTATGACGGTGACTACCACTTAGGAATATGCATGGGGAACTTGGCAGACACCTTAAGTTACAGCAGGTCAAGGGCCAAACCAGATCACAGGCAACTTCACAGATCTTTAAAAATGGAGCCCCTGGATCAGCTGCTCTTAGGCCAGGCACACTACTATGTAAAGTTCGTTCGTTTTTTTTTTTTTTTTAAGTTCGTTATTTTTAATTAATGTTTTTTTGTTTTGGAATGAGAATTGCTATCGTTACGAGTATAAAAGGTTGGTTGAATTTTAAACCTTCATTCTGAAATTTGTCCAACACAAGTCATCTACTAACAGGAAATTCTGGGGTTATCAGCAGATTATCACAACAAGCTAGCAACCACCAAATTATTTTACACATATCACTACAGTGTCTGGAATAGTAACTGGAGTAGAAGTGAAATAAGCCTATGCCATAGGATTAATGATTAGAACCCTTGTAAAAACAATGATCACAGAATAAAAGGGTCAGCTTACTTGAATGCTTTCCGATGTTTCATATACCATGCTCACAGTGAAAATTTGCAGAATTTAGTTACATTCAAATGTTAGTTTCTAGCATAAAAAATTTCACTTGAAAAATTCTACTAAGTTTGATGTGGATAAATACATCATTAAGTTAAATAACCCACCAATAAAGTTAACAGCACATTTGAGCCCTTACCTGTGCTACTGTTCCCTAAATTTCCTTGGTTTCCTATCATCCCTTGATTACCCATCATTCCTGGCTGAGGTATCACTGAGTAGGGACTATTGTTTCTGATTGGTGGGAAAGGTCCAGCACCAGTTGGGCTTTGCAATGTGATGTCAAGTGGTAAATTCTGGTTTGGCAATAACCTGCCCAGTTGCCCTGGTCGTGGGTTATTAAAAGCTAAGGAGAAAACAAATGAAAATTTAAGGTTAATATAGGATAATGGAATATAGCAACAGAAGTAGTGTTCAGGGAAAATGTCGTTTGTAAAATAACAAAGATATGCATGTCAGGGACCAACTGCCTACATAAAAGACAAATTCACAGACAAAAAAACATATGGCGCGAAAACACAGACTTGCAATCTAATCAACACGTCTCTAATTTAATTCCTGACAACCTTGCAAAACAAAAAAAAAGTAAAAGGAAAAAAAAGAACACGTCTATTATTTACCATATATTTTTCTCCCCAATATTAACTTCTAATATTCAACTGTATTTGTTAAGGAAACTACTAATATTTTTTTCATATATTATTTGAATTTAGCAATATTGCTTTGTCATAGCTGTGAAGCCATAAACATCTCCTGCATATAGCACCAAACCCAGATACATGTGGTTTGGACATGAGACTATCATTTTTTTTTTTTTTTTTTTTTTTACGGTACGCGGGCCTTTCACTGCCGTGGCCTCTCCTGTCACGCAGCACAGGCTCCGGACGCGCAGGCTCAGCAGCCATGGCTCACGGGCCCAGTCGCTCCGCGGCACGTCGGCTCTTCCCAGACCGGGGCACGGACCCGTGTCCCCTGCATCGGCAGGCGGACTCTCAACCACTGTGCCACCAGGGAAGCCCGAGACTATCATTTTTTAATTGGACTTTCCTAGGAATAGAATTAGGTTAAAAATGTCTACTCTCATTGGAAGTTAAAATCTTTAAATGTGTGAACTCTGGTACCTGAAGTTAGTATTGAAGCTTTAGGGCCCTGTTAAGTCTTCTAAATATAGCTTCTTTAAATTCCAGATACATTTATATTTGAAAGGATTCTTATGGTTAGTTCACAAGAGTTTACTGTGCAGTAAGTACTACACCAGTGCACTATACTATCACACAGACAACCAGTGATTTGATAACAATGTTTCTACAAGAACAAAGATATTATAAATTACAATTCATAATTGTAATATATACAATTATAATTGTAATATATATAGAGAGAGCTAATATATTAAATAATATCAAGGACTTTATTTTCTCTGAATTATATAAACACAGTATGAAACAGAACATTTACAACACGTTAACGTTCTTAACAATCAATAACAGAAATAAAATATTTAGAAGAATTAGGGTTTAAATGAAAATGATGTACATGCTTAAGCTGACTTCCTCAGGCTTAGGTATCTGGTTACCATTCAGTAGTCTGAATACCATCAGGAGGTACAGATAGAGGAGAAACCATGAGTTTTCATGCAGTCCTCTATTAACTCGGCTGGGTCATGAGCATAAACCCGCTACTGTGTTTCTTACTTCTCAACTCTCTGACTTTGTGATCTCTCATAGGCCATAAGCAACCCTCCATTCCCTAAGAAGCAGGCACGTTTGACAGATAACAAGCAAAAACTCTGTGTTGTTTTACCCTTTTCAGAATGATCACGAATCACTTTGAGAAAAGATTAATCAAGGATATTCTGTGATTTGGTTGATGGTTGCCATTTCTGATTTGAGAACAGACGCTAAGCTTTGGGTCAAACTGTATCTGTAGAGGCAAAGATCATTCTGTTCACCAATTTAACACTGAAGAGGTTCTCTGTCTTTCTACAGATCATGTCCCTAGCGCAGGAAAGATACTTTCTTCTGCTCAAAACTATCGGACAACTTTAGCTAACTATCAAGTTTGTAAACTAAGTGTTCAAGGTGGAGAAAGACCTCATTTTAAACTTACAAAAATATAAAATAGGGAACTCCCTGGTGGTCCAGGGGTTAAGACTCTGAACTTCCACTGCAGGGGGCACAGGTTCGATCCCTGGCTGGGGAACTAAGATCCCGCATGCTGCACGGTGCGGGCAAAAAAACAACCCAAAAACCAAAAAAACAGGGAACTGAGATCCTGCAAGCCGCACAGTGCGGCCAAATAAATAAAAAAAATTAAAAAAATACAAGTAAGCGATAAAAAATGTCACTTATAAAACAGTCCAAGGTCTTCCAGCTGTATATCATACTAATTAAACTTAAGATGCACTTAGAAAATATTTATATGATAAATTTCCATGTAAAATGGATATTTATATGAGGATTCCTAAGAGATAGGACAAGATATTTTTAATGTGTGCAGCCCTTTCACGTATGAGTATTTTGATAAAAAATTTTTAGTAGTGTATTATTCCTGAAAAGTCAGCGTAACTTTCTAAGTTTCTGTCTTTTAAGTATTCAGCCATATATTAAGACACAGAAAATCTATTTTAAACTCCATTTATGAAGGCAGTAGTACGACAATCACCCGAAGAACTTTATCAATGCAGGTCAGTCTCACCCCGTGTTGATTAGATTAACCATAAGCGCCTGCAAAAAGGCCATGTTTACTAGAATCCACCCTGAATACTGTTTTGAAGGGCTGGGACGGTAGGTGGTGCTATCTGACCATAAAAACCTTGAAGTGACTAAGCTGTTTGCGTCAGATTTTAATAACCCCTGTTTCTGATGGTGATAATATGGGAATTTCTTGGCATAACCATCAATATCTCATACTCACTGCTCTGTGAAATTCGCAATGCTGTTTTCTGGGCTCCAACAGGTGTAACAGGGCTGCTCTCGGCTGTGAGTTGCATGAGGTCATTGATGATGGCTTGCTTGTCAACCGATCCAGCAGGGGCGCCGGGCCTCGTGTCTGGGAAAAGCTGTGGTAATTGACTATTCTGCAAATCATCCAAAATCTCCTCCAAGTTGTCCAGCTCACTGCCAGGCTGCGGTTAACAAACAGAAGAGTTTATCCAGTCCCACGCGAAGAGTGGGCGCCACAGGCCCGGTTTGCAATTACAGACCTAACCGGTATAAGGCACCAGAGCCAAACAAGAGATGCAGACACATGCGAACCTCAGGCCTAGCAGTTAATTGATCATCTTTTAAAAAAATTAAATCAACAAAGGACAAATAATTTAATCTCTTGCTCCTCTGTTTCCTCATCTGTGAAGAGAGATGCCTGAATTAGAAAGAAAGCTCTCTTCTAGCACTGTGATTCACTGGCAATTTATAAATTCCCCTTTATTTTATGCTAATAATTCAATTAATTATGAGTATGTGTATTTCTAATTAACCATGGGTGTACTATGACTTACAGTCCAGGCCTAGGTTTCGTGGTTAACTCTCCTGACGAAATAACAACAACAAAAAATTGGTGGAAAATATGATCCAAATTTACATGAAATCAGTAGTTAGTAAATGGTCATTTCCTTTTAGAACTTTGTTTTTCTTTCTTTCTTTTTTTTTAAGAGCAAGGAATGAAACGCACGAGGAGCCTGAAGTAATAACCATGAACAGCTCAGCCCTGTCTTTTCCATTTGAGTGGTGTTTTTTTCCTGCTTACACTTTCAGTTTCGAATGACACTGGCTTTCTCAGTCACTCACCAGCTTTGGTGACAAATGCAGGGAAGCAGGATGAAAACACAGCAGCTATTAATTTGACTTTACAGAAGCCATAAAAATATTTCTTACAGCTTTTCCCTTTATTAAAATAATTTCCGTTCAACTAGCAACATTAAAATAATAGGGTACATATCACCACTATTTCACACCTAGTGCTTTTCTTCCAGAGAGCTCAACTGAATTTATATTCGTTTAAGTAGAACCTATATCTGTGTGCCAAGTATTTAAAATCAGACAGTGCCAACCACATAAGAAAATGGCTAAGTTAACTCCCAGGATTACTTTCTAGTGAAGAGAGTGGTAAGAATGATTCTCCTGATGTGTAGGTGGAAAAACACAAGTTAGGCAACTTCCCCAAAGTCACTGGATGGACTCTGAATCCATGACCATGTGACTGACCCTTTTGTCTACACTGGCAATTCAAATGAAAGCATTTACATCTGACAGGAGGTATACTTAAAGCAGAATGGCTTACAGTTTTATTCTATACACTAGAAGCTGCATTTACTAAGGTTTTTGCAATTTACAGCAAATGTAAATCTATACAGGAAGTCTTTTTACTGGACATAATTTCTCAAGTTAGGAAGGATACAATGAAGTGATATTTTATTGGATTCTTTGTTCAGAGTCAACTAGCTTAATGAGAACTTGGAGATCCATTTTCCAGGGAATTCCTAATGCACTGTTTGAGCAATTACAAGACCATTTTCTAGTTAGTTTAGCCACCGGTTTCTAACAAAAGGGGGAGGGGTCAAACTTGGGAGAGCTACATCTTAGGTAAGGGTTAGGTTCCAAAGTTAGCATCCTAAAGTATAGACAGACACAGACAAAATGATCCTTAGAACGGCTCGGGAAGGAACCTTATTGTATGTCCCCTCCACCAAGGGCAACACAGCCAGTTTTCCCTCCAGAGTGAAAGCACATCACTGCTTCTTTGGCTGGGTCCGAAATGACGAAGTTTACGCGGGGGGCCATTCCGCACTGAAAAAGCCTGTAGCTACATTTCCACACTACTGGAGCTTCAAGGGAACCAAAACCCAGTTAAGTCTCTTGAATGGTGGGCAAAACTGCTCACGTGACTTAACCATTTAATAGCTATCTCTCCTTTTCTTTTTTCTTCTTCTGAACGTGTATGGACAATTTTGGGTAAGTTAAACATGAGTAAAGTGACTCCGTTGGAAAGCTATCGTTATCATGTTTTGCTGAATACGTTAAGATACAAACATCAGTGTAATAAGCACTTATCACCCTCTGAGGACAGTGCCTGGAACATAGCAATGGACACTCAGTCAACCCGATGAGTTCCTTCAACTATTTTAACCGGTAATTTAAAACATTTCCCAGAATCAACTCAATTTCTCATAGAAATTCCTATCATTTCTATAATTTCTCAGAAAAAAGTTTCATAAAGATGGATAGGGACTTCCCTGGTGGCGCAGTGGTTAAGAATCCGCCTGCCAATGCAGGGGACACGGGTTCGAGCCCTCATCTGGGAAGATCCCACATGCCGCGGAGCAACAAAGGCCGTGTGCCACAACTACTGAGCCTGTGCTCTAGAGCCCGCGAGCCACAACTACTGAAGCCCGTGCACCTAGAGCCGGTGCTCCGCAACAAGAGAAGCCACTGCAGTGAGAAGCCACCGCAGCGCAACGAAGGGTAGCCCCCGCTCGCCGCAACTAGAGAAAGCCCGCGCACAGCAACAAAGACCCAGTGCAGCCAAAAATAAATAAATTTATTTTAAACAAAAGATGGATAAATATCCTCATGGTTGTATCATGAAAATAGCTACAGAGGTATTAAGAGGTTCTAATAAACTGTGAAGTTTATTGCTGTCCTAGGAAACCAGGTCTCCCTACTACAGTAATGCTGCCTTGCGTAGAGTGTTCTAAAATTCATTGTTTGTGAAGGGGTGAGAGGGTGGGGCCGTAATAAGTAATAAGCTACTTCTTTTTTTTTTGCGGTACGCGGGCCTCTCACTGTCGTGGCCTCTCCCGTTGCGGAGCACAGGCTCCGGACGCGCAGGCTCAGCGGCCATGGCTCACGGGCCCAGCCGCTCCGCGGCATGTGGGATCCTCCCGGACCGGGGCACGAACCCGTGTCCCCTGCATCGGCAGGCGGACTCTCGACCACTGCGCCACCAGGGGAGCCCAATAAGCTACTTCTTGAGAAAGCTTTGCAGATGCCTTGAATGAGAGATGGCCCAAATAAATGGGTTCATATAAACGATAATAAAAATAAAGTATATTATTTTCCTCAGTGGATGTTCTTGTATTTGCTCCCAATCACAGACATGTGTAAAAGAAAGCTTTTACAATACAGATTAATAGTCTGGGTCCAGACTCTCACCTTTCCTTTTTACCTTTATTCTTTTCACACAAATAAAATGATACTTTAAACCATCTTGAATAGAAAAATAACCATCACAGTTTCAAAGAGTTCTAATGATAGGATTCATGATTCTTCCTTTGTGATCTACTCTTGTGTCGAATATGATGAGTTTAAAATAAGTCTAAGGTTAATCTCTCTCTCTCTGTATATACATAGCTATATAAAACATTAATATATTTGGACGGTTTAAACCTATTTATTGGTTCTTTATTTCAAATAATTAGATAATTTGAAATCCATGGTTTTCCTTGATTTTTATTTTTAAAAAGCATATATTAAAACTGATTTTCTAATTTTAATCTTTGCCATTTCGAAGAGCTGATCAAATTCAACTGTGTTTCAGTCTAGCTTTGACAAGTAACTAAAACACTAATTTGTCTTAAGAAAGTCATGCAGGGACCTCTTGGCGCTATATTCAGAAGGAACTGGTTCTTTGGAGACCCTTAACTATGGACACTACAGTATATGAATTCATTCAGCTTACCATCAGAAGAACGCATTATGAAAATTTCCCCACTGGAGATAATATTGCTTTGCTTGTGTTTATTTCTTGTCAGTATTTGGAGTATGCATTTAAATTAATCTAACTGTCTCAACTTTACTTGAAATGTTCTTTTTCAAGGAGAATATCTCTACACCTTTGGTTGCCTAGGAATAAAATTTGACGACTACGGGCATTTTCTTCTGTAGTCATGTAAGTCCTGGAAGGGGTGCATTTGATCGCATGAAGTTTCTGATCAAACATTTCTGCCCCCTAAGTAAGCTTTCATTCTCATCAAAAGTTCTTCTAGTTCCTATCTAGTTCCTTTCTCAGGCATGATTTCTTCACAAAACAAAAAGATTAATGCCTCCCTTGAAAATGCTTTGCCAAGATACTTCAAAGTTTTGCTTAGGCATCTCTTCGAATGCTCAAATTAGCCACATCAATTTGAAGAGTTGGTTTAAACTATTTCAGGCAGAAAATGAGTCAGAAAGATTTTTGTAAAAGTTCTACAAAATGAAAATTGGACTTGATTTCTGCAATTTTTTCTGGTTTTATGAATTTTTCATGTGTCAAATCAATTTGTTTTCTGAAGGAAATATAAAGAACATATGCATTTTAATACATGTTTTCTAATAAATTACAAAACAGTGTTGCAAGAATTTTAAAAAAAACTGTTATTTTACCACATTTGCCTAACATAAAATTGCTTTAAAAAATGGCAACACAATTCTACCACAGTTGGAGGGAAATTTTCAGGACACTACCAGTTTAAAATATGGTTTGCTTTTCTAATGGAGCCAAATAACAAGAAGAAATTCTTTACAGACTATTTCTAAACCCTCATCATAAGTGGCCCAGCAGCATTAAGAAAGAGCATAAGAGTACCATTTAGTTAGTATCATTTACACATGCTCCATTGTGTAAATAAGTATATAACTTAAAAGTCAGTGAACATATCGGAAATTTTTCTGTCATTGTTTCCTGTTGGTTATGAAACACTGTAGAAACAAATGTTGTTTAAATACTCTACCAAGTGAAGAATACTATTTTAGGTATAATGGCACCATCGAAGTACTCCCTGCCCTTAATAAGTTAGTGGCAGGTTAAACACACACTCGGATAATGGCTCTTTTCTGAGTCAAAATAACAAGACAGTCAACTGTGCAATTCAGGCTCGCTAACAGTTTAACTTACTGAATAAAAATGTGTTGTGTTCCCCTGAAGTGAAAGAAAAACCTTTGATAAATTTGTACAGAAGTCAATAGGAGACACAATCAACCTGTATTTGGGAAAAGTGAAGGTGGGTGGGAAGTGAAAGAATCCCTGTTTTTTTTTTTTTTCTTAAAGTCAGTCATTCTAACTTTGATCTAAATTTAGGTAATGCATACTTCCTGTGGTAACCTTTCTTTTCAAGCTGCAATGTTTCTGATGTTAAAATTGCTCTGAAGCACTATTTTTTTGGTGGAGTTTTAAAATGGGAATAGATGGAGGGTAAAACCAGGAACTGGCTTTCATTAAGAAAAAAAATACTGTGTGTATGGGTGAGTGTGTGTGTGTGTGTGTGTGTGTGTGTCCACCCAAAATGACAGGTTTGTGCTGATAACACTCTGTGCTTTAAGTTCCCAAAGTAAGATAATGTTGATCAGAAAAAACGTTCTTTTAAATACCAATTAGAAACCTGCAAGTGACTCAAGGACTTTAAAAAAACAAACAGAACTTCTTTGTCAGTTTCTTGTATGAAGTTAGTGTAATCATATAGGTAAATACAGAAATGCCAAACAGTGCCCTCCTTCCCTGACTCTCTAAGTCCCTAGGGCCTCAGGCCTGGGACAGAAATAAATTCTGTTTATGGAGCAGGGGACCAGCCACTTAGCCACTAAGCCAAGGGGGACCTCATGAGTCACCATCTTGCCCTCTAGCATGTCAAGAGACCTGAGTGACAGTATCTCTGCCTGCCACTCTGAACTGCCACTAGCTCGGCGTATTCTAATCTAGTAAACCTCAAAAGATTAAAACATCTACAGCTGTCAATATGCTTTTACACTACACTTTATCCAAGATATTGTTATTAACTTTCCCCTGAGCCCCCGGGTCCCCCCCATGCAATGATCTTACAGTATCACAGAGTAGCTGGTGTAGAGAACTCAGGACTAACATCTAAGTTTAAGGATTCATCCTCACCAAAGGTGTTTACACAATTACGCTGTTTCCCTCACGAAGGGCACAAGGAATGGTAGCAGCTGTCCAGACATCAAAGTGAAAGACAGACAGGAAGCTGCATGCTCAGGACCTGGAAGGAGGCCGGCTGTGCTTGACCTCGGCACCCCCCCCCCAATCTGTGCTCTCCACCCCAGAGCTGCTGCTGGGTCAGCCTCCACCCGGGAGGCCCAAGGTGACGGCCAGGGATGCTCCTCTCTCATCTCCCCGTGCACACCTTGTCCCTGAAGACAGCGACACCTAAAATGTCCACTTGTAAAACAAGTTTCAAGGCCATATCAGTGAACCATTTTCAGTAGAGAGGCCCGTGCAGCTTCTGCACTTCCTAACCCATCACGACTTACGGCGGCGCTCAGGGATGGTACATGGTTGATGAAGTCCTGGATCTTTACCCCACCGGTCGTTGATTCCCCAGAAAACCCCTTATGCCAAGTCATTATTGTCAGCAATAAATCGTTTTTCTTTTAAATAGGAAAATTTTAAACAGTTTGCATTTTCCCTCTGTGATGTCACTACCTCAGAGTGTCATCAAGAATGACTCTGAATATCACTTTAGCTATCCTTGATTTTCCCAGGAAATTAATTTTTCACGTAAGAACAACAGATAACGCAACCTATTATTTCAGTTTTGCACTTATATTTGATGGTTCCGCTCTACCAACCTCAAGGCCAACTTCACCTCCCCTCTACTCTTCATTTCCCCTTAAATACTTTTTATGTCGATGGTCTGAGAAATTCTTTAGCGTTAAGAAGTCGTGATTGAGAATAAAGAGAGGTAGAAGGATCTTCACTGAGTCTGAAAACCAGTCAGACTCTGCTCTTAAAAAGGGAAAGGTGAGTAAAAAATAATTTAATTAAGTCTGTCCTGACAAAGGCCACTTTTGAGGAAGTGATTATCTCCAATTTAGGTATCTTCTAATAACAGGGGTCATTAAACCCCAGCTGGCCTGCGGGCTAAATCCTGCCCGCCACCTGTTTTTGTATGGCCCATGCACTAAGAATGGACTTACATTTTCTAATAATTGAAAAAAAAAATCAAAAGAAGAGTATCTTATGACACGTAAAAATTGTATAAAATTCAAATATTAGTCTGACTGAAACACAGCACGCTCGTTTGTTCCCGGGTAGTGTCTAGGGCTGTGTTTGCAAGCCAGGGGTGGAACTAAATAGCTGTGGCAGACAGTGTGTGGCCTGCAAAGCCTGAAATATCACCACTCGACCCTTTACAAGATAAAAGTCAGCTCTATAGCGACGTCACTCTTTGCCAGGCAGAGTGTCTGGAACACGCGGCCTCAGTGAGAATTCACTCTGTTTCAAGGCAAGAACAAAGGAGACTTATTTTTATCCAGTCACCTGAGGCCTCAGAAGGGCCCTGTGGAGAAATCCCTGATGGCCATGGATCAGTACACTTGGGGGGACACATGACAAACCTCACCTGGTCACTGGGCTCAAAGCGCATCTCCTCCTTCTCAGTTTTCATAGTGATTAATTTCGTGTTACTGGCAGGGTCTGTCTTACTGTCCAGTCGCTCCAGTTTGGGGGTGATTTCTGGTAAACCGATATCTTTAGTATCATCCTTATCGAGCAGGTAGCGAAGCAGTGCATTCTCTTTCTTCTTGGGGCTCACTGGCTCCTGCTTAACAGTCATCTCAGACCCAGGAGCTGTGCTGCTGGCCTCCTGGTTCAGCTCTTTGCCCGTGGCTTCCGCTGTGAGCTTCGCCAAGTCCACGGGGGAACTGCTGTCCTGCAGGAGTCTGTGCAAAATCTTATGCTTCTCCTTGAGCGAGGTTCCGTGCGTCGACCCAGAGCCAGGCAAGCTGCCTGTGGAGTCCTTGTTGGTGTCCGACAGAGCGCCAGGCAAGGGCGAAGGCTCCATCTGGTCGGATTTGGTGGTTAGCAGCTGCAGGAGTTTGGTCTGCCCCTTGCCGTCATGCAGTCTGCCCTGCCCGTCAGGCCTCTCGCCGCTCCCGGCCTGGGGCAGGCCGGCCTCGCTGGCATCCTTCTGCTCCCCCGGGTGGCAGCTGCTCTCTGCTGGCCCGGCTGGACCTTCCGAGGGCTCCCCGTAAAGTCCGAAACAGTCTTTGGAGTCTAAGCTTCCCATCTTGCTGAGCGGGGGAGGATTCATATTCACCGGGGAGTTTTGCAAGTTGCCCATTTTGAGGTCCGGTGAAGCCAGCGACGACCCCAGTGAGACCCCGTGCCCCTCGCTGAGGGCCTGCAGCGCGTTGAGGGAACTGTTGGTGTAGCTATGGCTATTTCCTGTGCTGCTGCAAACTCCCACGGGGGAATGCAAGCTTCCTGCGGGGGAAAACTGACTGGGAGGGATTCGAGGGCTTCCGGCCACCCCAGGGCTCATGCGATGCCTCGGTGAGAGCATGGAGCTGGGCTGTCCTGGATTCAGGCCCGGGCTGCTTTGTGAGGGGCTGTTCATTTTGAGTGCATAGTTACTACCCTGAGGAGTGGTTGCCTGCATGCTCGACACGTGGTTCATTCCCCCGGAACCACCAAACCTGCCCATGGGCATGCCCATTTGTTCCTTTGGGCCGTTCATGGGGAAATTTATATTGCTACTTAGGGTCATGTCCTGACCTGGGTTCCCACTGCACATGGCCTGATGGGCAGGGCTGCTAGAGCTAATTGGATTCAATGGCTTCCCCATCGCTTGTCCAGTCAGATCCGGGTTCATTACACACAAATTCTGCTCTCTGTAGGATGAGGAAAGAAATATAAGATAAAGGGGAAGATACTGAGCAAGTTGTTATTACTTTTCGAAAATGAGATCGCCTCATTTCTTTAAAAGAACGAACGACACGGAAGGAAAGGATAATACTTTGATGAAACAATCTGCAATTACGGGCAAGAATGAACACGCAGTGCTTTGGACCAAGAGGGATGTTTTTCAGTCCACTCATTAAGACGTCTGTGGTTCTACAGAGGAAGCTGTGTTTAAATTTGACTACTACCATACTGAAAGCACAGTTGCTAGACAAGACATTAGCGGGCTTCCAATTACATAACATACCTTTCTCATTAAACGGTACGTTATCACGAATAACTGAGAGCTTGTACTGTCTGAAAGAAACGACCCAAACAAGTATAGCTGCCTTCAATTATCTGCCAGATTACAATTCCTAACAACAGACCCATCTGTGAGCCTGGAGCTTGATGTGTGCTACTTGGCTCAAGATGAGGAGTAAACTTGAGAGGGAAAAAAACCTGCCCCTAACTCTTCGAAACTCTGCAAGTTTTAGAGCCAATAAAGTTACCCAAACTGTTTAGAATTAGGTTACCTGTCTAACAGATCCCCCGCCTGGGTCCCCCTGGAAGGCAAAGCAACAGCCTCTCAGCCACACGAAAGGAACTGCAGATCGTCCTGAGTCTGTGATCTCATTCCCCAACTCGCAGGCAACCCTACTCCGCTCCTGGTCTCAAAGCAGGTTTGCTGAGCTGGATGATTTTCCAAGCCCTACGAGCTTTAATTTACAGCTTGGCAGTCACTTGTGAGTTACCAAGCGTGTTCACAAATCCAAACAAAACAGGTTTCCCAAATTGCCAAACACCAGCTTTCAGTGAGGGGGGTGAAATGTGGCACATCTGTAATCACTTTCAAATTGTTTCAGTTTGAGGTCGGATTTATTAACAGTTGGCAAACAGGGCTGCTTGATATTTTTATTCGCAATAAGAAAATAATTGAGAAATGTAACAAAAGAGAACTCCAGAGCAACTTTAGATATCTGCTGATAGCACCTCATAAAGTTTTACGTAGCACACACGTAAATATTTACATAACTTGAAGTACAATCACTTCCCTAAATTTGTGCTCTGAAACTATATGGTTATGACACTTACTTTAAAATCAACATTCAAGTTTCCTTTTGTTTTTTATGGAAATGTTCACTACCCTTCAATTTAAAGTCTAATGTCAAAAAGTTAATTTAAACCTGAGAATAATAATCTAAAGTATTCCTTCTAAGTATATGTATCTTTGAAAGTTTTAGATTTAAACACACAGGAGCAGAAGTCATTCTATATTCCCGCCCTGCATGTATCACCGCTGGGAACTGATCAATTTTCTTCTCTGATGTAACAGGCAGTCAGTCGTGTCAGAGCAAAGTGAGTGCTAGTCTATGTCCTTCCAGCTGGGTGTTAAGATTCACTAGTACTGGGAATTCCCTGGCATCCAGTGGTTAGGACTCTACGGTCTCACTGCCGAGGGCCCAGGTTCGATCCCTGGTTGGGGAACTAAGATCCCACAAGCCACGTGGCACAGGCTAAATAAAATAAAATAAAATAAAATTCACTAATATTAAGGCTAAAATTCAAAGTGTAGCCCTACTCTGAATTTCAGTATCGGGAGTTGTCTTTTAGCCAACAGTTAATAACAATTTAATTTATATTTTACATGCCTGGGGTTGGTCAACAGAAACCCCAGGTAGCTTGTCTACCAAACCTGACAAGCTCTGGGATGATCTCCTGCTTTTGGAACCTTTCCTCCTGACTTGGGAAGGGCAGGTGGTGTCTCAGAACAAGGCTTACCTGTGCAGCATATGTAAAGATATCACAAGCTGAGGTTCGTTAGTAGTCTGAGAACGGATGAGCTTGCTCTTCGTTTGTGCAGCCACAAGAGTGCCGTCGGACAAGGAAAAACGATAGATCTGACTGAATGCCAATCCCTGTCTCAGCACTGCAGGCAAGCAAGGAAGCAGAACGCACGTTTAGAAACAAAGTCAGAAGGTGAGGGCCGGACAAGACATAATAACAGTAATAAACTTCGTTAAGTGTATTATTTTCCTACCAGCAGGTTAAACAGAGTTGTAAGTAATATTTCATGGCATTAGAACATTATACATTTTTAAAAGCGTGTTTATCTTTCATTCAAAGTACCGATAAATTCAATATACTGTTTTTTTTACCCCCCCGCAAATGAAGCTTGGACCCTTAAACTACGTTCTTTTTAAAATCTTCAGTATCATGGCAAAACAGAGTGTAAAGAATTTATTAGCTCAAAACAAGCTTTACGATGATTTGTCTAAAATGTCAGGACACAATGCAATGCATAAACATGATACCTCTACAGGGTACAATTTGCCTTTAATTTCTCTTCAAACTAATGCAGTAGTAAATGTTACAGTAAAACTTATGCCACTGAATATATTCTCCGAATATTCATCTTGAAGTTACGCACTGTTTACTCCATTATCTCACACTACTATTCCCCAATTCTGTTTCTTGGTGTGTAAGAAGCATTATTTCTGTGGTCAGGATAACAGGAAGTAAAAGATAAACAATCACAGGAATCTTTTCAGAGAAAAAAAGGCTAAATAGAAAACTGAAATAATAAAAGTACAAATCTTAGTGACATGGAATTGGTTTAATGTCTGGATAAAGAGTCAGGCGTTTCCATTTTCAAGACGAGCAGAAAATATAACACTAGGTTAAAATAATTTCCCTTAAAATTTCAGATTTATCTTTAAAACAACTGTATTTTAAAACTGTCAAATACTGCATATTAAAAAAGAACACTTCAATTCAGAAAAAAAGGAGCCATACAGTTTAGTTACCTTCTAAATCATTTTAAGAAGACTACTGTTTTCTACCACATAATCCTTAGCACAAATTTTGCGGGCTGACTAGTTAGTCTGAAAGCGGCCAAGCACATTCATCATTCCACAAAATTACCATGAGAGACAGAGAGAGAGAGAGAGAGAGAGAGAGAGAGACAGACAGACAGACAGACAGACACAGACAGACAGAGGTAGGTGCTGACACACAATGTGGATTCAGATTTTTTGGTAAAATTTCACTTTTAGCAATTTCCCCGATGAACACCCCTGCAGTTCCAGGTATTTAGGGACATGCAGTATTTAGGTATTACTTTCTGCCACCAACTGCTGCATGATTACTCTGAAGTGGCAGTACTGGAAATGAATTACTGTACATACATGTACCTTGCTTTGTACACTAAACATGCCACTAAAAGGTGGCATAAATGCCATTTTTATAATAGGACCCATATTTCCGATGGCTTATAATTTCAGAATTTTATCCGACCTTGGTTGGCTGTGATCCCTCAAGATTTTCCATTTCCATTTGGTCTATATCAAACACCTCTGCTGAGCAGATTTGTGTCAGCAAGCCCCTGAACGCATTCAGGAAGCTCCTCCATGTAAACAAAGCCTTCCAGCAGATTTTTATTCAATGCAAATGACTACCTTCAATCTGACTTATTTCACACATTTGGATGAAATGTATTTTATACACTGCGGAGTTTCCTTTCATTGGGTCCCATCTGTTTAAACCTAGCATAGTGCCTAGTACATCTGTGTAAACCCTTTTGTAAGGAATCATGAAGCCACAGGATTAAATGTGGGGCATTGCTACTCAGGGTCCAAGGACACTGAACACGGCTGCTGATGGAGATTTCATATTCTTTGTTACTATTCTTTTTATTTTAAACCAGATCTAGTGAAATGCAGGTTACTTATTGATTTCTGTCAAATGTAGCATCTTTATTTCCTCTTACTCTTTCC